AATAAAGACGGAATGGTTAGAGATGATTCAAACCAGAGAATCAAAGTACATTGGTTCGAGAGTGCTACTGACTTGTTATGTGATCAATGAATACCAACGGTTGAATGTATAGATGATGAGAAGAAGAAGAAGAAGAATAGCGAGAGAGAGAGAGAGAGAGAGCTGTTGTATATCTCTTAATTCAAAAACGTAGGGTTTCCCCCTTACACACAACTATTTATACTAATAAGAATAATACATAAAGATCAAACTACTCCTAACACTTAACACTCTCCCTCAAGTTGGTGCAAAGATGTTTCTCATGCCCAACTTGCAACAAATAGGGTGAAAGACTTTGCTACTAAGACCCTTAGTAAAAACATCCGCCAGTTGATCTTCAAACTTAACAAAAGGCATACATATCACGCCCTTATTCAACTTCTCCTTAATGAAATGTCTGTCAATCTCAATATGCTTAGTTCAGTCATGTTGAACAGAATCGTGTGCAATTCTAATAGCAGCCTTGTTGTCGCAATACAAAGTTATGGGACCACACCAATCAAGCCCTATATCACTCAACAAAGATTGAAGCCACATTAGTTCATATGTTCCATGTGCCATAGCCCTATATTTAGCTTCAGCACTAGATCTGGAAACTACTGCCTGCTTCTTACTACGCCATGTGACTAGATTTCCTCCTACAAAAGCACAATAACCGGAGGTAGTGTGTCGGTCATCTATAGAGCCTACCCAATTTGCATCTGTGAACGCTTTCAACCTCAAGTGACCATGATTAGAGAACAAAATTCCTTTTCGAGGGGCAGATTTAAGGTACCTCAAAATGCGATAGACTGCATCCAAATGAGTTGCACGAGGATCATGCATAAACTGACTCACTATCCCAACTGCATAGGCAATATCTGGACGAGTATGAGAGAGATATATCAGTCTTCTCACAAGTCTTTGGTACCTTTCCTTCACCACAGGCTCACCAACCACACTACAAAGATGATGATTAGTCTCAATCGGTGAATCAGCTGGTCTGCAACCTAACATGCCCGTTTCCTCAAGAAGATCTAAAATATACTTCCTTTGAGAAATGAAGATGCCTTTATCAAATCTGGCAACTTCAATCCCAAGAAAGTATCTCAATGGACCAAGTTCTTTTATCTCAAACTCCTTGGCTAACTGCATCTTGAGATGGGTCACCTCCTCCTCATTATTACCTGTCACAACTATGTCATCCACATATACAATAAGCACTGTTACCTTATGTACATTGCGTTTGACAAACAAGGTGTGATCCGCATTGCTTTGCTGATACCCAAATCCCAACATTGCCATTACGAATCTACCAAACCAGGCTCTAGGAGATTGTTTCAAACCGTACAAAGCCTTCTTTAATCTACAAATCTTTCCACCTGTAGACTGAGATGAAAATTCTGGAGGTACATCCATATATACCTCCTCCTCCAAATCCCCATGAAAAAAAGCATTCTTCACATCTAGTTGCTGTAGAGGCCATCCCAAATTAGTAGTACATGACAGAATAGCTCGAATGAAATTCATCTTTGCTACCGGGGCAAAAGTTTCTTGATAATCTATTCCATATGTCTGGGTAAATCCCTTGGCCACTAGTCTTGCTTTGTACCGTTCAATCGTCCCATCTGCATTGTGCTTAATGGTGAACACCCACTTACATCCGACTAGTTTTTTCCCATTAGGAAGAGACATCAACTCTTATGTGTTATTTTTACTCAAAGCTTGCATCTCTTCTACTATAACTACCTTCCACTTAGGGTCATTGATGGCTTCTTTCCAACCCTACAGAATACACACAGAAGAAAGAGACGAAACAAAAACACGATATGGAGAAGACAACGAATCATATGACACGAATTTAGAAATAGGGTGTTGAGTATAGGCTCTAACTCCCTTTTTGAGAGCAATAGGAAGACTCAAATCATCAGTAATAGGACCATCAACAACAGGTGAAGAAATGGGTTGAGGATCATTACCTGTAGAGTCAGTGGAAACTGGGTATGGAGTTGGCATAGGAGATGATGATTGACTTGGTGGCACAAGAGAAGCCGGCTTTTTCTGACGCCGTAAATAAGTCTTAAGATCAACTCTATCCAAACGACCACCGATATCTGACTCCTCATCAACAGAACTGCTAGGCTCCCCCTCACCACAAATAACAACTTGTTGATTAGGAAGGAAAAAAGACAACTCATGCTGATATGATGCCGTCTCATCCACAATCTCATCAATACCACTCTCCCCCTGAGGAGATTGCAGAGGACTAGAAAAGGACTCAAATTCACGGAAGGAATCAGATTTACGGAATGTGACATCCATACTAACATACAGCTTATGAGAGTGAGGGTCATAACATTTGTAGCCTTTCTGAGTAGCAGAATAACCAAGAAAGACACACTAGACAGCTTAGAATCAAGCATCCCACGAGTACGAGGTTGAAGATGAACAAAACAGACATTACCAAAAACCCGAGGCGAAAGGGAAGAAGTGGGATAAGTCACAGGAAGAAGCTCAAGAGGAATTTGGAAGTGAAGGACACTAGAGGGCATACGGTTAATAAGGTAAGCCACGGTAAGAACATCCCCCCAAAAGGACTTAGGAACGTTCATGGTAAACAAGAGAGAGCGAGCAACCTCAAGGAGGTGGCCATTCTTGCGTTCAGCAACTCCATTCTGTTCAGGAGCGCCAACACAACTAGTCTGATAAAGAATGCCATGCTCTTCGAGGTATGTCCGGAAAGCGCCATTAACATATTCAGCCCCATTATCATTCCTAAGAATTTTGATAGTAGCATTGAATAGATTGGATACCATTTTATGAAAACTTTTGAAGCACAAGAAAACCTCATTTTTAGTACGAAGTAAATAAAGCCAAGTCACACGGGAATAACAATCAATAAATGTGACAAACCACTCAACTCAGCATAGTAGACTGCCAGAGAGTGATCCTTCTGATCCAAACCCCTAATCTTCTTACGCAATTCATTAGGCCTGTGCATCATTCCCCTGTTGAGAATACATCTAAGAGGCAGCTATCCAGATCTTGTGAGCAGTATCCATCAAGAGAAAAGTCCAACTAATGGTAGACTCCATAGAATTGATGAGCCAGGTCATAACTAAAGCATTCTCAGAAATCCATTGAGCAGATAAAGCACTATCCTCAGTAGGTGGCTGGGTACTATCAATAATATAGCTTGTCAACCGCCGGGCGGCAATGGCAAGACTGCAGGAGCGGGACCAAATCAAATAATTGGTACCATTGAGCTCAACCAGACTAATCTGGAGAGATGGACTATCACCAAGAGTCATACCACGACTAAGTCCACTCTCCTCCTTGCCCTTACCTCGTTGGTAGCCATGAGATGAGAGAAAGATGGTGCAGAAACATGAGCAGGATATCAAACAAATCCAGAAAACACTGAACTAGCACAGCAACTCACCTTTTAAGGCTAAAAAAGGGCAATATTATCCCAGAACACAATAACAGATCACCTGCAAGCCAAAAAAACTGAAGCAGACCATCCAAAACGCAGAAAAACACCAAGGTAGGGCCAAAATACCTCAAACCAGGGACAGTAAACCCTGTAAGGGTTCCTATCGGCTCCCACAAGTATGAGAAGAAGGGACAAAACCAAGCAAAAAGGGTTCAAACAACAACTTTCGAAAAATCATCCAAAATTGACGAAAAATCAAAAAAATTAGAAAAAGCAATCAAGAATGACCAAAACATCAAAAGGAGATTACAGGGTTAATATCCATTAAATTTTGAACATGCTGATAAATTTTTTTTTTTGCTACGATAGGTGGACCCTAAAGAATGAGAGGAATCATCTTCAAGGAGGAAGATATTGCTCTGATACCATGTTAAATGTATAGATGATGAGAAGAAGAAGAAGAAGAAGAAGAAGAATAACGAGAGAGACAGAGAGAGAGAGCTGATGTATTTCTCTTAATTCAAAAACATAGGGTTTCCCCCTTACACACAACTATTTATACTAATAAGAATAATACATAAAGACCAAACTACCCCTAACACTTAACACCAACAAATTAAAAAGAAACTTTATAAAGCATCTATAAGGCAAGCAATGTTTCACGGGACAAAATTAGGAAACAACACATTCATAAAATGAACGTAGATGAGGATGTTTAGATTGATGTGTGGTAAGACTAGAAAAGATAGACTTAGAAATAATGTATTCGTGAAAAGCAAGAATAAGCACCAATTAAAGATAAGTTGAAAGAGAACAAATCAAGATAGTTTGGTTATATACAACAAATATTTTTAAATGCAACGATAAGGAATATTAATCAGATCACCATAAATGAAAATGTATGAGAGAGAGGATGACCTCAACTGACATGAAACCAGGAAGTAAAGAAGGGATGTGAATTTATTTAATTAATTGAGCACATACACCGTGACACAGTGGGGAATGGCAAAAAAAGGGATTTGCATGGCCTGCTCCACATAATTGTGACACAAGGCTTAATTAGGTTTGGTTTGATTATGTTTTTTAGAAAAGAAATAAGTTAACAGAAGTGATTATCAAATTACATCATGATCTAGAACTTCACAATGTCAAAACTAAAGAGAAAATGAAACAAAACCACAATATTCCCCATGATCATAAATTAGAATTCAAAATAAATACAATATTTCCATCTTATAATCAAAACCAAAGTATATTGCATGCATAACAAGTGCAATCAATCTACTCTTGCAATAGCTTGCTCGGGGGATGAAAGATTCTAATACCTCATAGGCTTCCCTTTCTCTGTCACAGTAATAATCCTTAGGCCTGCCCTTCCTAAAACTCTAAAATAGCAATAGAAGAAGTCAGAAGCACCTAATGAAAGTTAGGTTGCAGCGAAACTATTAATAAGAAACTAATGGAAAAATGAATAATTTACCAACCAAGTCAATCAAATGGCTATCTTCTTCCTTTTTCTGATAAGGTTGCAACAACAGATAGACCTGTCTAGTTATACTGTCTCTCCATTCAGTCTTTGATATTTCACTTTCCTTCCGCTTTCCAAGAAGGATCTCACATTCTTCAAGTGACATCACCTAAAAAAAGTCAGAGACATCAAGAGAGAAAGAGAGAGAGGGAGGGAGGGAGTGAGAGAAGATGAAATTCTCATACAGGGAATATATTCAACACTCTACAATAAACCAATACCCTTGCTATATCTTCTTTTTCTGGAACGTTTGTACCATAAATATCTCGATTAACTGCTTGGTGAGCCTTCTCTCATTTAGACACAATTAGAGCAGCATCCCTGTTTTAGGATTGAGTATATAAAAATAGTTGAACAAGAGTTAAACTTAATCCTCAAAACTCCACAATTATAAGCATTGTTTCAGGTGCAACATTACTAAAGGCTCTCGAGAGGTCAATTCACTTGTCTTGGATCATGAGAACCCTTTTTTCTGATTTCAAGCTATATGTATTATGTACATTCCTTTATTGGCAAAACAAATAGATCAACCCAACTCATTCATGAACAAGCAGAGATGACATTAACGTATGAGTTTAATGGGTAGTCATTTCCCCAAGAACTACTAACCCAATCAAAATAAGCAAATATGAAACCACTGAGCTAATAATTGAACATAAACTAAGATTCTATTAATGCCTAAAAAAAATTAAAAAAAAGCACCATCCAAACTAATTGTCCCATTTCTTGTATAAACCAGACGATGAATATCATAATCACAAGAAATAATATGTAAACACATGTGGATCGAATCACATTCCAATACCAAGTTTGGAATAACTTGTAATGGTATCACAAATTGTAAAGATCACGACCATTCATGTTCTATTTTGATTTTATAACTAGATTCAGCATCATTCTCAACTGTTCCATATTGTATCCTTGCAAACAAAATGAGAAACAACTATGGCCATTTCTATCTATTTAATATTTGTATGCCGTAACTTATGTAATAGCATTGCGGAGAATGACACTAGTCTTCTACATTTCTGAAATTCATGCTCTTACTATGGTACATCTCAATGTGTCATGTAAGAACCAAGGGCACTTCTAAAAAGGTAATGTGTCATGTCAATGTCCAACACAACATTATACTCATCAGATACTTTCCAACACTTAGAGACACATGAAACACATTACAAGTTTGAATAAAATGACTTGAAATTCAATAATATATTGAAAACAATTTAAATTTATGCCTATTTTTCATCTTTAGACTTTAAAAATTATTAGCTGTGACTTAAATTTATTTATCCTCATATATATGACACATATGATATACAATAAGTATATAAAATTATATATGTTGCACATGTTGATTAAATTTTTCAATCAATCACTTTTTCTCTCTCCTCTTTCTTTCTCGATCACTTTTTTTCACACACACATCTACTCAACTACGACAAAATATCAAATCATCCCAAATTTTCACACTTCAAAACTATTTCCAAAATATACAACCAAACAAACCAAAAAAAATTTCTGAACTTTTTCCCTAAGATTTTTTTTTGAAAATTTATCTCTCAAAACCAAGCCAAACACACCCTGTGTTTGTGTCTCTGCTTCTTAGATTATCCCAATATTTCATAATCCATAGTAGGCATTTGCATCGACTCAAATAAACTCTCCTTCTCTGTCATATGGAATTTGAACCAAAACTCCATTTACCATTCATTATTTCTATCTCATTGACCTTTTCATTTCAGTATTTCAATTTACACCTCTAACCTATTCTCTTTTTTTTGTTTTTTTCTCTTTTTAATACCTTTTTCATGAACGAAATCCGCATATTTTCACACCTAGGATGTACATAATGATAATAAAAATAAGACAACTGCTAAGGCTCACCATCCATCCCAAACGTAATCGGCCTTCCTGCCTCGATGGGGAAAAGCCGCACAGACATCATCAATATCGTCACCAGAAAACTCCATACTATAGTAACGCTTCAAACGGATCTGGGCTTTCTCTCTGTTTTCTTTTTCAATCCGATGATCGGCCAAAAATTTGTTCATTTTTAATTTATGAAATCGTTTCAATAATTTGAAAATTATCTTTTTTTTTTTTTTAAATATTATTTTTAGATTGTATTTGGTTCATGAATTTGAAAAAAGATTTGAAAAAAAAAAATGTGTATGAAATTTGTTCGAATTTATTTTTAAATTCATGAACTAAATATAACCTTAATCAATTTATTCCTTTCATTCACTCTTTTTTCTTTTTTTTTTATTCTCAATTTTTATTTTTGTTTTGTTTATTTATTATGGAGATATGAACCTGAAGCAGAGCAAATCTTAAAATAAAAAAAATAAAAAACCCTAAGTGAAGCAAAACAACAAAACTTATGAATAGGTTGGGGATGTCAGCAGCGGGGAAAATCGATCTCCATTTGGGGTTGGGGGATGGGGATAAGAAAAAATTAAAAATCGGGGATCCAACACGGAGGAGGGTAAAAAATTTAAGGTAAATTATGTTTTAATAGTTGAATTTAATTCTCATCAAGTCCTATTGAAAATAAGTCTTAATAAAATTATTACTAAAAATAATTTTTTTGTGATAATTTTTTATATATCGTTAAAAATTGATAATTAGTGATTTTTTTTTGTCATAATTTTTATAAATTGTCATTAAAATTTACAATTGGTGACTTTTTTTTATAACAAATTTTTCCCATAAAACCTATTAGACAATAAGTCTACTTATTAAAATTTACACGTAAGTACCCTAAAATCTATTCCCCCTCGCTCCATTGTCATCCCTATTATCTGTCCCCCTTATGTGAACACCTCCTATTTGCCCAAGCCCGGCCTAATTATCTAAACTTTTCCCTTCAGTGCCTCGTTAATTCACTAATACAGCAGTTACAGATTTATGATATTTTTATATCAGACTAATTTTTTTTAAACTATTAATGAAATGGTTTATATTAAATAATTTAATAGTTATGATTGTGTTATATGATGACATATAAATTATAATGATATAAAAACAATAATAGGTTTCGTTTAGGATGAGCTATTTTGGCTAAATTAGTTAATAAAAACAAAACATATTAATTTAACCAATATGATAAGATGTCACATCCAAACCATAAATATTTCATTTTTTCTCCCATAACTATCAAATCAACTACGAAAAAAAAGGTCAAAATTTATCTGAAACACAATTTTTTTAGCGCGAATAAAAATAACCAAAAAACCAAGCTACTCATCCCAAACGAGGGCTAAATATTAACAATTGACCCGCTAATATTTTTTTAATAATATTTTATTTTATGACGTGTTTTACAAAAGAATGATATTAATTTAATTTTAAAATAAATATGGTTATAATAATTTCTTTTCATAATCTTAATCATATTGTTTCATAAGAGTGTTATTTATCATCATACATATATATTGTACATAGATATATAAAATTTAAATTAAATATAAATATTTCATAATAAAGATTTTCATATTAAATAGAAAACTAAATATCAAAATTTGGGAAAATTAATAGTACATCCTCTATATATAGAAAGTCTACAATAGTTAGAGTACTGGCAAAACATACATGCAAGTTAAAGGCCCTAAACTTTTAAACTTTAGAAGATAAGGTTCACGCTCCAGCCGATTCTAAACGCACCACAAAAGATTTGTTGGGCACCCATTTTTAAAAAAAAAATACTACGTGTTTTGTTTTAATTTTTTGAAAATTAAGATTTTTATTTTTCGTATTTTTTTTAGTGAATAGTTTTAAAATTTTAATCAATTTTTTTAGGTTTTTATATTTACCTTACTTAAATGTATCTAAATAGTAAATACATGTGAAAAATATTTTTAAAAATTAATAAATACATAAAAATATAAAAAATGTACTGAATTTTTGTAATTTTTTTTATTTATATTTTTCGTATTTAGTGAATTTTTTTTTAAAAAATTCACAAATATTATACTTTTTGAGTATATTTATGTTAAATGTATCCAAAAATTTTAAAAATTATTTAAAATATTAAAAAATTCAATAAAAATACAAAAAAAATACAAAAAAAATGAAAAAGTAAAATTTTTTAAAAAGTGAATTCTGAAAATGAAAACCAAACAAATCATTTTACCCATATACAAAATAATGAACAGGGTCACAAATAAACCCTAATTCCAGCCAACACACCCTAGGTTCGGTAGACACCACCCAGCTTCGCCCACTCTGTCCAATTGCTACCACAACCTACTCCATTTATCGCCACTGCCGCAACCACTGCCAGTTCTTCCTCCCATCAATGCCACCTTCACTTCTTCCACTTCCTCTTGTTGTCGCCGCCATCTCATTCGCCACCGTGACCCTTTTCTCTGCCGTGAATCTCCAGTAGATATCTGAGAAACTAGATATAGAATGGGAAACCTTTAGCCTTTTTCTACACGAGGAATGGCCGTATTCATAAAGTTAGCTGTCTGAATAAAAAATATCTATTTGAAGAGACATGACTTGGAGAAGTTCTTGAAAGCAACCTAGGCTATGTTTTATAAATCACGTACTTGATGAATGTTTGGCACAGCGCCGCACTGCACATATAAACTTTCTGCATCAAACAAAGCATAATGAAGGATACACATTGAATGATGAATCACAAAACAAGTGTATATTCAATGTCGAAAATATACTGCCAAAATTCCAATCCTAAAGTCAAAATTTTAGATTTGAATTTCTATAAATTGCTACCGATAGTTTGTCCATTAGCTCCAATGGCAGGCAGGTGAGGTTGGTAAGGTTGGAATTAAAAGGGGTGCTTAACAAAAAAAGAGAAAAATTCAAATTTGACTTGGGGGTGTACAAAGGAATGGGATGTCCCACCAAATTATTGGGGGTGCATTTAGAGCTACCCCCACACTGCATGTTTTTTTAGTTTTTTTTTGTTCCTTATTTGTCCCTATATTTAAGCTTAAATTCCTAGAAGCTTAAACATTTTACAGACAAAAGTGACTCTCAAACTCTTTTCACTCTATTTAACCCTAATTGCCCTTGATCTTTCTCTCTACCTATTATGTAACTAACGAAAGAGAAAAGAAAGAGACAGACAAAGAAGTTTAAAAGTTATAAGATGATACAGTCATCAATAAGACATTGTTGATCTAAATCATATATAACAGAAGGAAATTGCTAATCTGCTTAAAACATTTTTTCTATGTTGTAAAAGCTTTTCTATTTCTATTGAAGAAAAAAAATGCGTTGGGCTCTTCTGGTACGTTTTGATTTAATAGTTATTTTTCCCATTAAAGATCAATAAATGGAATTATTGTTGATGTGACGCCTCAAAAAGCGAAGATATAATAACAAAGAAACACAGGGTTCTGATAAGGTTACACATCTAAAAGTAAATAATAGTACATCAGAGTTTATATATTATAGACAACGTTGCCCTTAAAAAATAAATTTTCAATAATGAGATGAAAAATCTGATGTAGTCCACGCCTGGCACATCTTCTCAATCTCTTCCACAAAATCTTTTTCGTCAACAAATTTTCCAGAAGCTGGAATCGGATGCCAAGGCAAAAGTTGTGAGTTGCGAAACCTAATAAGAACACCCAACTCCAACTTTCTACAACCTCTGGATAATACGAACAAGTAGAAGTACAAAATATAATTACATAGATAGAGAATTAAAGAGAAATACAAACAATTATAACAATGCAGTCTTAAACAACAGCGATAAGTAACAATCGGTTAATAATATTAACAGTTAATTGCAACAGTGAAATCAAGGCCATTAGAGTCCCCCAAAGAGACCTATCAGTCTAACCTCTAGAACTAGACACCAGACTATTTGAAACTCTCCATTTTGCTGCTTTGCAGACTTTACTGCAAATGCCTGCAATGATTATATACAGGGCAATGCCATTGATGGACCTTAAAAGGGATATAAAAAAAAAAGATTTATCATCCTGAACCCAACCTTATCCCCCAAAAAACAAAAAGGTTTTACCCTCCTGAATGTCCCATTTGGAACCAACTTATCTCACCAGATCAAACCACCACATAGAGTCCGAATATGCTTGTTCCATCATAGGGTTAACGCTACAACCACTTGCGCAAGACTTAAATCAAAGTGGATACGTCCCACCATCATTCCATTATCAAACCAACCATTATCACTTATCCTTTCAAATCATTACAAGTGAATGCAAACCCATTACCACCCAATTGTTGGAATTATGGTTTTTATAGACTCATTTTGGGTCAAGTTTGAGCCCAAATTTGAGTGGGGCCCACACGTCTTTTAGGGTGGGTCCAAAGAGGTAACGTGTTCCTTACCGTGTGGCAAGTCACATGGTGAAGACAGTTCGTCAAAACCATTTATGAGTAAATGGGAAGTTGATGTTGTTTTCGGGTTTGTAGAATGGACAATTAAAGTGTAAAGTGTGGGTTTCCTTGAAATGATTGTCCCACATTGAAACTTTAAGTGGGCTTTTGTGAGTATATAAGCTCTAGGTGGACAAACTTGGATTAGACCCTAAGGGGCACCCCAAGTTTGTAGAAGAGAGCAGTTATGGACAAAGTGAGCATTGGCTCAAACCACCACACACTCGCGCGCGTCACCGCCGCCATCCATCTGGCCGAGCCGAACCAGGTGAGGATTATGGGTTGGGTCCTAACATTAATTTTTTGGACAAAATTTATTTGAATTTTTTCAAATTCTTGTGGGAAAATTATTTGAATTTCTTAACGAAATTAATTTGAATTTTGCGTCGATTTTTTCTGTCCAAATAAAGCCTTTCTCCGGTCCAAATTGTAGCAAGTTCAAACAGTTCAAGCAGTTTGACTGAACAGGTTCCATTTTCCTGCAGATCTGTTCAATTTAAAGTTGTATCTGTCCAGTTTGAATTCATTTTCATACCTATTCGGAT